TTTTTTTTAAAAAAAAAAAAACGAATCTGTTTTTTTAAATGAATCTCTCTTTTTTAATGAATCTCTATTTTTTTTTTAAGTACCACATTTTTTTCAAAGCAACAGAACAGGTCAGATACACTGTTAAGAATGTAGCAGGCCAACGGGAGTGGCCTCAAGGGTACTCAAAGGCCCAATTTCCCTTTAACACTGAGTAATCTGTTATCTGTCCACCTGCAGAACACCTTGTTAATACACACATTTTTTGTTTTCTCTGCATTTGATTCTTTTGAACTTGTTCCAAATCCTCAAGACAGTATCAAATCTGAGGAAATCTTTTTCCTTATTCCAAGCTGAATTGATTGCTCTCTAGATCCTTCGTGGATTTTCTTCTTGGGACCCACTCCATCCCAACTTCCTTGTTTCCAGGCTAAACACTATTTTTTTCCTAGAGGTCAGAGGAACACATCAGGTGTCTTTTTCTATTGCTCACTAGCTTATTTTATTTACTTATTTACTATTTGTCTATTTGTGTGGGGGGTATGTTTTTCATGCCATGGTCAATATGTGGAGGTCAGAGAACAACTTTCAGGAGGTGGTTCCACCTTGTAGGTTTCAAGAATCAAATTCAGGTCCTCAGGCCCCCAGGCTTGGCAGCAGACACTTTTACCCCCTGAGCCATCTCAAAGGTCCTTAATCACTTTTTGTTTGTTTATTGTGATGATGGGGATGAAACATAGAGCCTTTTGCATGCTGGGCAAGTACTTACTCTACTACTGAGCTACATCTCTAACTCCTTAGAGTACAAATTTCTCCAGGTCTTTGTGCCTAACACTTTTATTCTACACTTACCTTTGATTAATAATTTGGTTATACATAGAATTTTAGGCTGAGGGGCTGGAGAGATGGATCAGTGGTTAAGAGCACTGGTTGTTCTTGCAGAAGACTGGGGTTGGAATCCCAGCACCCACATGACAGCTAACAGCTGCCCATAATTCCAGTTCCAGGGGATCCGACACCCTCTTCTGTCCTCCATGGGCACTGCACGACATAGGTGCACTTATACACACACATGCAGGCAATAGACTCATACACATAAAATAAAAACTAATAAAAAATTTTAAAAATACTTAAAAAAAGAATTTTAGGTTGAAAATTTTCTCCAGAAACTTTTTCAATTAATCAAATTTGTTTTTAGACAATTTTTCACATGTTGAAATGCATACCATCCACTCTCACCCCCTATCTCCCTACCACCCTCTCAACAACCCCCCTCACAAATCTCTCTCATGTTTATGACTGTGTTGTTTTGTAACTGACTGAGATTAAACAGGGCTGTCTGTGTGACCATGAGTTTGGAGCTCTCCATTTGGAGTCTGGTGGGCTCAGCAGTGAATACACAACTAAAGACAGTGGTGGTTCCACCTCTCCAAGAATCTATGAATAACCAATATTTTAGAGGTAAAGGGTAGGGTGCTGTGATCCCTTCCCCCTTCCTTGATTTACTGTTGATTGGGGCCAGTCTTGTGTGGGCCCAGTACAGGTCACTACAGCTGTGAGTTAATAATTGCACAAGTTGTATAGAATCTAAAGAATGGTATTTCGTAGCCTTTCACCCTATCTTCTGGCTTTTACGTACTTTCCTCTTCTGCAGTGTTCCCTGAGCTTTAGGGTGGGTGGCACAAATGTCTTGTTTAGGGCTGGGCCCACAATCCCTGCTTATTCTGTGTCTTAGGTAGCCTTTAATGTCAACTTTTGCCTCCCATTCTTTGTGGGAGAGGCCTTTCTGATTAAGACTGAGAGCATCTGCCGGGCGTGGTGGCCCACACCTGTAGTCCCAGCACTTGGGAGGCAGAAGCAGGTGGATCTCTGTGAGTTCAAGGCCAGCCTGGTCTACATAGTAAGCTCCAGGCCAGCTGGGGCTACAGGAAGACCCTGTCTCAAAAAGAAAGAAAAAAAAAAGACTGAGGGCATCCTTTGTCTGGGCCTGATGGTGAGGCAAAATAGGATGCAGGGCAGGACTGCTTTCTCAGAATCTTAAAAGTGTCCTTCTATTGTCTTCTGGTCTTTGGTGTGACTCTGGAAAAATCTGTTTTTACGTGTTTCTTTTTCCTTTGTCGAATTATTTTTTAATCTCTTGGAAAACTCGGGATTTACTCTTCAATGTGATGTCCTACAATTCCATCAGGACATTATCTGAGTATTGATGTGCTGGATTCTCAGTTATCTCTTTGGATACAAAGACTGCAAAGTTCTCTTGCATTTTTAAAAGATACAGTCTTGCTATGTGGCCCAGGCTGACCTTGAACTCACCAGGCCTCTTGAGAAAATGATTTTCTCCCATCTATTTTCTTCACACTCTTTCTGAATATCTCCCTGTTAATAGTTTGGAATTTTCTCTATTGATTTTTTTTAACTTTTCTCCTCATATTTCTTTATTTTAGTTTGGGGAGTTACATCATATTTTACTTTTTTTGATTGAAATCAGGGACTAATGCATACCTGGCCAGTGCTCCATCCCTGAGCTGTACTGTCAGTCTTTAAGTTACATTTAAAGTATGAAAGTTATAAATTTTATTTTCAGACAGGGTCTCATGTATCCCAGGCTGGTCTCCAGCTTCCTGAGTAACTGAGGATGACCTTGAACTTCTGATCCTCCTGCATCCACCTCTCCAGTGTTGGAATTACAAGTCTGTAGAACCATGGCAGGTTTATATGGTGTTGGGGACTGAACCCAGGGCTTTGCACATGGTAGGCCAGTACTCTACCAATGGAGTTGCATCCTCTGCCATGAAGTATTTTCTATTTTTTTTCAAGATTTACCTATTTATTGGGGTGTACCTGTGTGCATACCTCTTCAGGTGGGTATGCGCCTATGTACATGCGTGTGTGGCAGCCAGAAGTCTACATCAGCTGTCTTCCTCAATCTCTCTTCACCTCATTTTAAAAAATACTTTTATTGCTGGGCATGGTGGCACACACCTTTAATCCCAGCACTTGGGAGGCAGAGGCAGGCAGATCTCTGTGAGTTCAAGGCCAGCCTGGTCTACAGAGTGAGTTCCAGGACAGCTGGGCTACAGGGAGACCCTGTCTCAAAAAGACCAAAAAAATAAAAAAATATGTTTTTATTTACCATTTTTATTTTATGTTTATGAGTATATTGTTTGCATGTAGGTAGGCACATCCATGTTGTGCAATACCAGCAGGGGTCAGAAGAGGGTTTTGGATTTCCTGGAACTGGAGTTATAGACAGTTGTTAGCCACCATGTAGGTGCTGGGGATCCAACCTGGGTCTTCTGCAAGAGCAGCAAGTGCTCTTAACTGCTGAGCCATCTCTCCAGCCGCTCTTCACCTTATTTTTTAAAGATTTATTTACCAGGTGTGGTGGCACATGCCTTTAATCCTAGCACTTGGGAGACAGAGGCAGGTGGATCTCTGTGAGATCAGCTGATTTACATACTGAGATTTTTTTTTTGTCTTTTTGAAGCAGGGTCTCCCTGTAGCCCCAGCTGTCCCGGAACTCACTATATAGACCAGGCTGGCCTTGAACTCACAGAGATCCGCCTGCTTCTGCCTCCCAAGTGCTGGGACTACAGGCATGCACCACCACACCCGGCTACATACTGAGTTCTAGGCCAGTTGGGGCTACAAGGAGACCCTGTGTCAAGAAAACAAAGCAAAAATTTATTTATTATTTAATTTGCCTTTTTTTGAGACAGGGTCTTCCTATAGCTCCAAATGGCCTGGAACTCCTTATGTAGACCAGGCTGGCCTTGAACTCACAGAGATCTACCTGCCTCTGCCTCCCGAGTGCTGGGATTAAAGGCGTGTGCCACCATGCCTGGCTGATTTATGTATTTTAAAAAATATTTTACTTATTATTTTTTATTTTATGTGTGTGAGTGTATTCCTGCATGTATGTGAGTGCACCCGTGTCAAGGCAGTGCCACAGAGGTCAGAAGAGAGCTTCGGATTCCCCTGGAACTGGAGTCAAGGACGGTTCATAGCTGCCATGTGGGTGCTGGGAATCGAACCCGGGTCCTCTGTAAGAGCAGTCAGTGCTCTTAACTGCTGAGCCATCTCTCCAGCCCTGATTTATGTATTTTTAAAAAAATTTATTCATTCTTTTTATTGTATGTGCATGAGTATGTTGCCTGCATGTAAGTGCACCTGTGTAGTGCAATGCCAGAGGAGGTCAGAAGAGGGCGTCAGATCCCCTGGAACTGGAGTTATGGACAGTTGTTAGCTGCCATGTGGGTGATGGGATTTGAACCCAGGTCCTCTGCAAGAGCAGCCAGTGCTCTTAACCACTGAGTCATCTCTCAAGCCCCTATTTTTATTTTATATGTGTTTCATCTACATGTATGTATGTACACCATATGTGTGCATGTGTGCAGTACCTGCAGAGGCCAGAAGAAGGTGTCAGATCCTCTGGAAATTGGAGTTAAAGATGGCTGTGAGCTACTATGTGTGTGCTGGGAAGCAAGCACAGGTCCTCTGCAAGATCTGCAAGTGCTCTTAACCACTGAGCCATTTTTCCAGCCCCTGAAATTTTAATGAAGGAAGCTGGGGAGATGGGTCAGTCAGTAAAGCGCTTGCTATACAATGATGAGGACATAAGTTCAGATTCCTAGTACTTATCTAAGAAGCTAGACATGGCCGGGTGTGGTGGTGCATGCCTGTAGTCCCAGTACTCAGGAGGCAGAAGCAGGTATATCTGTGTGAGTTCAAGGCCAGCCTGGTCTACATAGTGAGTTCCAGACCAGTGGGGGCTACAGCGGGACCTTGACTCAAAAAGGAAAAAAGAAGAAGAAGAAGAGGAGGAGGAGGAAGAAGACTGGCATGGCAGCATGTACCTATGATCTCAGAGCTGGGGAAGCAGAAACAGACATCCACCCAGGGCTTCTTGTCTAGCCAGTCTAATTAAGTCAGACCTCTAGCCTCCACATGCATACACATAGACACACAGACACACACACATTTTTTGCACTTGAAGTTTGGCATTTGGGGGGAGTATTTACCTTGAAAATAGTGATCTCCATGCCCAAGATCTTGGAATAGAACATGGTGGTGTCTTTGATACTCTTTACTGTCATCACGATGTGGTCAAGTTTATGGATAAGACATGGAGAAGGGATCTGACTGCTGCTCCTCCTCTGTGAATAAAATGTAAAAAAAAAACCTCAGAAGAAACTAATTACCACTGAGCACTTCCAAATTTCTTTCTACTCTTCTCCCATCACCTCTCCAATCACTGTGTTCTTCCATACCCCCATTTCTAGGGGAAAGTCCTATGAGAAAATCTCTGTCAAATCCATTGCTCCTCCATAGAGTCATACAAGAGGCCACATAACTCTTTGTTTTCTTACATTTTCTCCCACTAGAGGGAAAGAGGTACAGACTAAGGAAGTGGAGATTTAACACCAAACCTTCCCTTGTTTTCCTCAAGTTGGAATTTGTCTCTTTTTTCAAAAAAATGACAAGACTGAGAGCAGGCCCAACCCTGAGCTCTAGCCACCTGGTGGCCAATTTCCGCAGCCACCTTCTTTTCTGGCCTACAATTATAAACTCCCAACAGGGAGCAGGGCAAAGAGGAGCATTTGAAATTAAATAAAAGTTTGTGAAGATGGGTATGCTGCTATGTTCCTGTAATCCCATCACTTGGGAAGCTGAGGTAGGAGGATCATGAGTTCAAGGCCAACTAGGCACCATAGTGAGACCCTGTCTCAAAAAAAGGAGAAAAGGAACGGAAAGGAAAGGAAAGGAAAGGAAAGGAAAGGAAAGGAAAGGAAAGGAAAGGAAAGGAAAGGAAAGGAAAGGAGGGAGGGAGGGAGGGAGGGAGGAAGGAAGGAAGGAAGGAAGGAAGGAAGGAAGGAAGGAAGAAGGGAAGAACAGAAGGATGAGACTGGAGAGATGGCTCAGTGGTTAAAAGCACAGGACCTAGTTTTCGCTGCCAGAATTCACTTGCTGGCTCATAGCTGTTACTTCAGTTCCATGGGACCCAGTGCCATCTTCTGGCCTCTACAATCACTGCATGCATGTGGTACACTTTAATACATGCAGGCAAAACACACACATAAAATAAAAACAAATAAAATACAACAAAAAATTTTAAAAGAACACCTGCTGCTCTTGCAGAGGACTCATATCCAGTTCCCAGCCCCTGCATGGTGGCTCACAATTGTCTCTAACTCCAGTTTCAAGGGATCCAATGCCCTCTTCTGGCTTCTGAGGGCACTGTATTCACATGCACAAACCCACCCATCCACCTACACACACACACACACACACACACACACACAATTTAAAAATTTTTAAAAAGAACAGACTCAGAGCTGGGAATTTAGTGGTAAAGCACTTGCCTAGTATGTGTTGAGACCCTGGGTTCAATCCTTGAATTATACATGAGAAGATATTAATTAGATTCTGGACCCAGACTGACAATAATTTAATCTCTCTGTGCCTTTGTATCTCCTTCTGTAAAATGGACATACTTTTAAAGATTTGGGGTTTTTTTTTTTTGGTCTTTTTGAGACAGGGTTTCCCTGTAGCCCCAGCTGGCCTGGAACTCACTATGTAGACCAGGCTGGCCTTGAACTCACAGCGATCTGCTCGTCTCTGCCTCCTGAGTGCTGGGACTAAAGGCGTGTGCCACCACGCCCGGCATTTTTTTTTTAGACAAGGTCTCACTTGCTCAGGATAGCCTTGAACTATGTAGCCCCCAGGTTCAGCAATCCCTTAGCCTTAGCCTCCTGAGTGCTGAGATTATAAGTGTGTATCATCACACCTGACTCAAGAGTTGTATTTTTTGAGAGTCTCCCTGAAGCCTCAGCTGGCCTGGCTCTCTCTCTCTGTGTAAACCAGGTTGGCCTTGATCTCACAGAGATCTTTCTGCCTCTGCCTCTGCCTCTGGAGTGCTGGGATTAAAGCCATGCACCACCACCCCCAGCCCATGAGTTATATTTTTAAGGTCTTAGAACAAGGCCTGAGGGTTGTCGATGGTGTTATGATATTGATGATGATGATGATGATGATGATGATGATGATGATGATGTTTGTGGCCATCTAGTCAAAATCTACAGTGTCCATGTGTCCAAATCTCTCTCGAGTCTCATCTAGTGCTCTTGAATATCTAACTACACTGTATTTCTCTCTCGAGTCTCATCTAGTGCTCTTGAATATCTAACTACACTGTATTTTGCCTGTTCTTCAGAAGGTCTGTTTTGTTTCCCAAAAAATAGTTCAAAATTTGGTAAATACATGAGTACCTACTATGATTTTATGTCCAGTTCTTGCTAAAAGTCTGTTATTCCACTCCTTCCCATCCCCTTCCATCATATTCTATTGGATTCTGTTTTGTTCTACTTTATGTTATTCTTTTCCATTCCACCATGAAGAATGCCATTAAAACCAATACACTTTAAGCAGCGGGTTTCACCAAACTCCTGCTAAAAATACCGTATGGTATTTTTCATGAGTAGAGGAAGCATCAATAAAGTTGTGAGTTCTGCTATCCTTAAGGATACAGATAATCCACATATGCCCATTGTGGTGGTATATGCCTGTACTCTCAGCACTTCCAAAGCTGAGGCAAGAGTACCACAAGATCAAGGCCAGCCTGGGCTATAGAAGGAGACCCTGTCTCATAAGCCAAAGTCAACCAACTAACCAAACAAAGTAAACAAGCCCTATTGAAGATAAAGACATATGGTTTTTGTTGTCGCTGTTGTTGTTTCGGGTTTTTTTTGGTTTTTTTTTTTTTTTTGGTCTCTTTGAGACAGGGTCTCCCTGTAGCCCCAGCTGTCCTGGAACTTGCTATGTAGATCAGGCTGGCCTTGAACTCACAGAGATCCGCCTGCCTCCCGAGTGCTGGGATTAAAGGTGTGTGCCACCACGCCTGGCTTTTTTTTTTTTTTAAACAGTATGTTTTTTCAAAAATCCTATTAACCTTTTAATGTCTATAGAATCTGTAAGAGCAACCCTGTTTTGTGCCTGATATCAGTTACTTATGTTTTTCTCATAATTTCTACAGCATAAACAGAGTATTTTCTTAATCTGAAGACCCAACTTTGAACATTGCCAATCTTTATTATATGTTTGATTTCTATTTCATGGTCTCTGCTTATCTTTATATTTTCTTTCCTTCTATTTTCTCAGAGTTTAAGAAAAGCTGTTCCTTTCCCAGCTTTTTGGCATGGGAGCTGGGTCACTGATTTCTCAGCTTTTATGTTTTTCCAGTCTATACATTTATATCTGCAGTTTCCCATAAGTACTGTTTTACCTGCGTCAGCAATGCTGAGTCATTGGAAATAAGGTCACCTATTCCTTGCCTTAGTCAGTGTCCTGGACACCATGCCCTCCCTCTGTTGGCCTCCTCCACAAGGAAGATTTCTCTCTTTTGGAGTCCTCTTTAAGGTTCCCTTCAGGCTGTCAGGGGATCCTGAATCTTCTGACAAGCTTCAAGGTCATTGTTTCTAGGCCCCTCCCCACACTACACTGTCAGGACAGCCTAAGGGACACCATCCAGGATCAACCTTTGGGTCTCTCCAGCTGTCTAGGGCTGAACTAGTCCCCCAAGAGGGCCCTCACTCCCAGCCACAACAGCCAGCCTAGGCTCTTGGCTGTCCACTGGGCAGCCTCCATAGCCTGAGAAGGACCGTTCCTTGGCCTCTGCTGCCCTCTGGTTGTCTTTAAGAGGCCCAGCAAATAGAGGGCAGCACCTCAGAGAAGGGAGACAAGCTGGCCGCTATAGCCCACACTTGTGCCCCAGGCCCTCAGGCCTCCCCACCAACCCCAGGTTCACCTGACTCTCCGTCGTTGGTCCCCACATCCTGACTGGCAGCCTGTAAAGCAGATGGCGGCAGAGCATGGTAGGTAGGCTGGGGCTGTATCTGGGCCTGGCTTGGTGCCTGGAGATCAAGGGGCAGAAATGGGAGGGTACAGACTGAGGACTGTGGGTGGGGACAGAGGCAGGTTGTGCCAAGCAGGATTCTGACATAAAACTCTAAAACTCTGGGTCCTGAGGGGCAGAAGTATAGCACAGTGGTAAAGCAGTGTTGAAAAGATCTTGGGTTCCAGCCCCAGCACTGCAAAAGTGAAACCAAACCATCCGGGCCCTGAAAGTAAAAAAAGCACAAGGTGTGTATAAGTTCAAGGGATTCTTTTTGAGATGAGGGGTCTTGATATGTTGCCCAGATTGGTCTCCAACAATCCTCCTCTCTCAGCTTACTGAATAGTTGGAACTATAGGCACTGTAGCCCACTTTTATTTTGTTTTATTTTATTTTTTTGGTCTTTTTGAGACCAGCTGTCCTAGAACTCACTATATAGACCAGGCTGGCCTTGCACTCACAGAGATCCCCCTGCCTCTGCCTCCTGAGTGCTGGGATTAAAGGCGGGCACCACCACACCCCGCATGTATCCCACTTTAAAAAAATTATTTATTTATTTATCTAATTTATTTATTTATTTGTTTGTTTGTTTATGGGGCTGGAGAGATGGCTCAGCGGTTAAGAACACTGACTGTTCTTGCAGAAGACCCGGGTTCGAATACCAGCACCCACATGGCAGCTAACTATAACTCCAGTTCCAGGGGATCCGACAGCTTCTTCTGTCCTCCTCAGGCATTGCGTGACCCCACATTTAAAATTAATTAATTAATTAATTGGTCTTTTTGAGACAGGGTCTCCCTGTAGCACCAGCTAGCCTGGAACTCACTATGTAGACCAGGTTGGCCTAGAACTCACAGAGATCCACCTGCTCTGCCCCCCGCCCCCAGTGCTGGGACTAAAGGCTGTATCCCACAGAAAACCCATCCATCCTGACGTGTTAAGGGACCAGTATTCTCACTAGAGAGCTCTCATCTATTTAGAAATTGGAGACCAGGTTGGGGATTTAGCTCAGTGGTAGAGTGCTTGCCTAGCAAGCACAGGCACTGGTTTCTGTCCTTCCTCAGCTTGAGAAAAAAACAAAAACAAAAAAATAACAACAAAAAAGGCCAAATAATAATAATAATATGATAAAGGCATCTAGAAGCTGGAGAGCTCTGATCTACATTTGAGCTTGTGACCAAGGTAGGAAGTTTTAAGCTGAGTTAGAATATGATCATTATAACTTATTGTAGGTCTGCTTCTGAGACAAGTTTTTTTTTTTTAATTTTTGGGTATTTTTAAGACAGGGTCTACCTGTAGCCCCAGCTGGCCTGGAACTCACTATGTAGATCAGGGTGGCCTTGAACTCACAGGGATCCGCCTGCCTCTGCCTCCCGAGTGCTGGGACTAAAGGCATGTGCCACCAGGCCTGTCGAGACAAGATTTAAAAAAATATTTTATTTAGGGACCGGAGAGATGGCTCAGCGGTTAAGAGCACTGACTGCTCTTGCAGAGGACCCGGGTTCGAGTCCCAGCACCCACATGGCAGCTACAAACTGTCCTTAACTCCAGTTCCAGGGGAATCCCACCCCCGCGGCATTGCACGACACCGGTGCACTTACATACATGCAGGCAATACACTCACACACATTAAAAAAAAAAACCCTATAAAATAAAAAAAACAATAATTAAAGCTGTTAAGAGTTCTATGCCCAAGGGTATGGTGTTCCTCAATTCTAACAGTGTGTGATCTAGGGTTCTCCCAATTGCCTATCCAGTCTAATACCCTCCTTCTCTGCTACTATTTGCCTCATTCTGAGCTGAGCTCAACATAAAAACTGTGTCCCAACATAAACATGGCTAAGGCAGGAGGATCAAAAGTTTCAGGTCAGCCTGGGAAAAGTATTAAGATTCTGTTTCAAAATAAAAAGTGAAAACAGAGATGGAGATATAGCTCAATGGTAGCACGTTTGCCTGGCATGTGTGAGGCCCTAGATTCAATCCCCAGTACTGTAAAAATAAAAAGTTTCAAGACTGGGTGTGGTGGCACATACCTTTAATCCCAGCACTTGAGAGGCAGAGGCCAGTGGATTTCTGTGAGTTCGAGGCCAGATTGGTCTACAGAGCAAGTTCTAGGACAGCTGGGGCCACAGGGAGACCCTGTCTCAAAAGGACAAAAAAAGAAGAAGAAGAAGAAGAAGAAGAAGAAGAAGAAGAAGAAGAAGAAGAAGAAGAAGAAGAAGAAGAAGAAGATATCAGTATATGGACTACACAGGCCATCCCTGTCCCCCATTCTTCCAAATGGCCATCACTGGAGCCATTTTCAGGTGTTTCCTTTTAGGCATGTCCCTGTGTGTTTGCAGGCATGCATACAGGGTCACCCCAACTGGCGCTGCCTTGTTTATCTTATGAAGGGCACTCTGCCCTGCAAGTATACACAAATTTTGTGTATTCTGCATTTCATTTGGCGGGTGCTTTGTGTACAACATAAGCCCCCATCATCTATATCACTTAGCAGTTTATCTAGCAATTGACTGGCTATAAATGGACTTTTTATTGTTTGTTTTGAGATAGAATTTCTCTGTGTAGTCCAAGCTGACCTCAGACTCAAAATGATAATGATCCTCCTTGCCTCAGACTCCCACTCCCTGGGATTATAGGGTATTACCACTATGTCTAACTTATAAATGGGTATTTATAAGGTTTTCCTGCTCATGTTTAGGCTTTTAACTATATTAAATATATATATATATATGTGTGTGTGTGTTTCTGTTTATGTATATCACATGTGTGAAGGTGCCCATGGAGACCAGAAGAGGACATCAGATCTCCTGGAGCTGGAGGTGGTTGTGAGCTGCCTGATGTGGGTGCTGGGAACTGAAGTAAGGTCCTCTGGAACAGCAAACACCCTCTTAATCGCTGAGCCAACTCTCTAGACCCATGTTTCTTTTCATACTGCACAAATCTTTTGCCTTTTACAAAATTTGCCCTTCACGCCCACCAGCCTTGTGCCCACTGCTCCATGTGGTTATGTTAGAGGTAGAAGTGGAATTTCTACCTTCCTTGTCCATGCGTGAATGTTAGAGGTAGAAGTGGAATTTCTGGGTGTTTTAGTCAGGCTTTCCAAAACACTGAACCAATATATGATTTATTTAAGTGAACTGGCTCATGTGATTATGGAAGCTGAGAAGTCCCATAATCAGCCATCTGCAAGCTGGGGACCCATGAGAGCCAATGATGCAGTTCTTAGAGCCAGAAGGCTAAGGGGGAAATTTGGTGGCCGGCATATACCTCAGTTCAAGCCATCTGACAGAAAGAGCAGATTCCTCTTCCCTCCACCTGTTGTTTTATTCTAACCCTCAGTTGATTGGATGAGGCCCACTCATAGGAGGAAGAACCATCTGAACTGCTCAGTCCAGAAATTTAATGTTTAATCACAGCACTTCACATCCCCGTCAACTAAACACTTAAAAATTATCCATCAAAGTCCATCCCTTGTCAAGTTGGCACTCATATGTATCTCGCTAAGCCATACAAAATAAAATGAAGACAATAAATAAGTCATTGTTCACCTAGCAATGACACAACTATGCTGCACACAACTGATAAAGCACTAGCCCTTGCCTCAGAAGATGTGAAGTCCTTGAACCATGTTGACTCTTTCCCTTTGATATCTTACAACTTAAATAATAAAGTAACAATATTTAAATGCTGAAAAGTCAACTTGTCTTATGTTTTGAGGTGTTTTTCTTTTTCTTTTTTTTTTTTGGTGGTGTTGTTTTGGTCTGTTTGAGACAGGGTCTCCAATTAGCCCCAGCTGGCGTGGAACTCACTTTGTTGACCAGGCTAGCCTTGAACTCACAGAGATCTGCCTGCCTGTGCCTCCAGAATTTTGGGATTAAAGATATACACCACCCTGCCTGGCTCCAACTTGTCTTATGTTACATGATAAGGGAATAAGAAAGGAAAGAAAAGCCAGATACACTGGCTCACATCTGCAATCCCAGCACTTGAGACACTAGGTGAAACGGTTGCCTCAAGTTCAAGGCCAGCCTGGGCTATATAGTGAGACCCTATCTTGAAAAAAAGGGGGAAAAATCAAACTATGCATAACATATAATATGCATCTATCTATCTATCTATCTATCATCTATCTATAGTTATCTAATTATTTTGTCTTTTTGAGACGGGGTCTCCCTGTAGCCCCAGATGCCCTGGAACTTGCTATGTAGACCAGGCTGGCCTTGAACTCAGAGATCCACCTGCCTCTGCCTCCAGAGAGCTGGGATTAAAGGCGTGCACCACCATGCCAGGCTGTTACTATTATTTGAACAGTGCCTTGCTATGTAGCCTGGACTGGCCTCACACAATTTTCCTGCTTCAACATCTTGAGTGCTGGAATTAAAGGTGTGCACAACCATGTCTGGCTGAAAATAAAGGTATACACACATTTACTACAAAATAAAGAGGAAATACAATACATACAGCTCTTGGTTCCACTGGTTTCCTGATTGTAGCTGGTATTTATAACTACTTTCATCTTGTGTTCCTTCCACTGGTTATGGTTCTTTACTTGGGATGACTCATGCCTGCTTTCCTTCCTTCCTTCCTTCCTTCCTTCCTTCCTTCCTTCCTTCCTTCCTTCCTTCCTTCCTTCC